TTAGCTAGAAATAATTTTTGAATATTTTTCATTATTATTCTTGTAAATTAAATAATTATTTATTTGTTTAATTTTCTTTTCTAGTTTGATTCATCTTTAATTTATTTGTATTTATTAAGTACTGTATTAAGAAATCTGTTTATTTAAATTTTGCTGTTATCATGATTAAACATATAAGAAATATTAATAAAGGTACATAATTATGCAAATATATATAAATTATTAAAGTTTATTTTTAAAATAAAACTTTCTCTCTAGTGATTTTAATAAAATTTTCAAACCAGAAGCTTAATTAATAATTAAATCTGTAAAGCAGTTACATACTTAATATTATTCATAAAAAGAATTTTGCTGTTTAAAATTCTAAAAATTAATTAATTTTCCTTAAATATAATTTATAATGTTTATTCTTAATCGAGTTTTCGTCAATTTCTTAACAGTTACCTTCATTTTTTTAATCTTATAAACTTAACAAAATAACATCACTGTCATAGGACAAAATATGTCTGTTCATTTCTTTATACTCTCATATAACAACATAAAATTTTTTCTCCATAAATCTATATTATTGTAAGAGAAAAAATGTTTGTGATTTATACATAAAAACTTATTTAATATTTATGTTATATGAGATGATTTATAATTAATGAAAGTTCATAAATATCTTGTTGCAAACTCTAACAATGTTAGCAATACATTACTAATATATAAGTATTAATTTATCCTTTATTACTGAATAAATCACGACAGATTATAAATATTATCTAGCAATAAAATATAAAATAAATTTTATAAATTAATATTACAATTTATATGTTAATATTTAATGCATATCATTAATTACATTCAATCCATTCGCTTTTAATTGCTCTGATTATTGAGCATGTTGAATTCATTAATTGCATTAATTTGTAGAGATTTAGCTCATTTTTTCCAGAAAATATTAAAACTTTTTATTTTTATAATGTAANTAGAAATCCATTTTATTTAATGTTCAAAATTGATTTTTTTTTTCTTTTCATTTTGTATTGAAACTTTGCTAAATTATGACGGTAATTTACTTTCCTCTTTTTCTATATTTCTTCTTCGGTTTTATCTATATTTTTCCCCCTTTTTATTTTTGCTTTTCTCTGAAAATATTAAGTAAAATCTTTAATTTTTTTTAAAGGTAAATATTGTTAAAAATCATTTTATACAATATTTCAATTAAAAATTTAATATCTCAATTGAATTTTTAAATCAATATAAAAAATTGATTTTTTAGTTTTTTTTGCCGTGATGAATTTCATCGTATCTTATCTTCTATTTTACAACAACTTTATTATTTTTTAATATATTATTATTACTCATTTTTATAATTATATTTTCAAAATTTTATCGCTTTTAAAGCCTAAAAGGTTCTAAATTATTCATAATTATGAAACTTAGAAGGATTACTAGTAAATTTAATACGATTAGGTAAAGTGGGTGGAGTATGTAGACAATGAATAAAAGGTAAAAATTCAGTTTTAAAAGATGCTGTCAGCAACACACCTGCTTTCTCATTAGATTACGCAGGTCTAATGCCAGAAATTATCAGCTTGAGAAAAAATTTGAGTAAAATATGATTTATTAATTATTTTAATTAAAAGTATTTTTAGTCTAGATAAAGAATTTCTAAAGAATTTTGAAGCTTTTGTAAGACGTTCTATAGTATCTTACACAAAAAGAAAATTAGTTTTACGTATTACAATGGCACTAAAACTATTCATTCTACCCAGAGTGTAAAGTATCTCGAGTACTATATAGATTAATGTTATGAGAAAATTCAAGAGTGGCTGAATAAAAACGTAAAATATTAGCATTCCGAAAAGTGAAATTGTAAAAACAGTTTTACAACTTTTGAGTAAATTTACTAATTAATATATTTAATTATAAAATCAAAAAATGGGAAGTGATTTAAGAAGACATTTATCAAATGTTCTAACTTATACAGTTACTTCTCTAATTAACCTGATAAATTTAATCACATGTGAAAGTTATTTTAGGATATCAANCTAATAATATTACTCTCAGTAACTTGGAATTTTTAAGATAATTAACTTTAATAATATCCAGCTCGTTCTGAGAAGTAATTTTACTAAAAGTGCTTTTACCAGTCTTTAATTAAGCAGATGTAGACTTTGATGTTACTTCTGATTTAATGTAAAGCAATATAAGATGTTTAAAATTGTGATACAAATTGTACCATTATAATACAAGCACTTATAATCGATGGGAATTCAATAGGTTAAAGATTTAGAACAATAATAAAATTATGCATAAGAATTTAAAAATTTAAGATGAATTATTATTCTGTATTATTAAACATAAATATATTCATATAAATGATATCATCAAAATGATATAAGCAGTACAATTGAAATTTTTCAAACATTCAATATATAATATGATAAGCACAGAACAAATATTATAAATGTTTTATACAATATATTAAACGCTTAAAAAATAATAAAATATAGACTGGAAGGTGGCTTGTAAGGAAGAATTGTGCTAAAGGAAATTATATAAAGTTAAGAAAAAAGTCTAAGGAAGAGATCTGAATGAGACGAAGTATAGATGCTAATACTAAGACTAAAATCATGAAAAGAGACAAAGAAGGAGAAACGATTAAAGAAATTCTAAAAAAGACATCAATGGAGGAAATATCGAAGAATAGAGATTCAAAAAGAAAAAAAATTCCAGAAGACTGTGTGATAGAGTAAGAGACTAAATAGACACCAAATATATAAGACATTAAGAGGGGATCAAAAGGAGAAACGAGAAGAGACTAAAGAAAGATCTAAAGGAATTTGACTAAGAAGAAACTAAAGAAAGGGAGATTCGGAATAGAGTCGGAAGAAGAGACTAAATAAAACTAGGTAATAAAGTTGAAGAGAAATCAAAGAACGAAGCTACAAGTAAAATCTAAAGAAAGGTAAATAAATTTTTAAAAATAAATATAACAAGATAAAAATAAAAACAACTACTAGATACTAATTAAAAAAAATAAAAGTGAAACATTCAATTTACGTTAAGAATGAATTTAATTTAAAAAAAAATTCAATATTTCATTATTTTAAAAGAAATGTCAACATTATCTTTAATTAAATCTTAACGAAATTCCTTAAAATTTCTAACTGTGGATAGTTTTAATTATCTGCAACATATTTTATATTTTATATCATCCATCAAATTAGCAGAAATAAAGAAAAAAAATGCAAAAAGCATTAATTTAAGATTTTTATAAATCAACATTTCAAACAAAAAATACCACTTAAAAATAAAAAAATTAAATTACATTTTATTATTTATTTATTTACTTTTTTTTGTAATTTTATTGCTTAATGTAGACTGAGTTTGTATAAGTTTTTAACTTGAAACGATTAAAAAAAAAGGAACAATTGTGAATATTTAAAAATATTTTTTTTTTACATTTTTAATGCTATTTGTACAATGTTTTCATTATATTTAACATTTGAAACTACAATTTGAAATATCTTATCCTCATTAAATAATCACTTAAGAAAGCAAAAACTAACTGCATGCAGTTCCAACAATCATTCATTTTTAATTATAAGCGTATAACAACCACTTCAAAATTTTTACTTTTCTTAATTTAAATTTATGATCACAACATGTCATTGAATAAAAGTTTTTATGTTAATAAATTACATATTTTTATATATTCAAATTTTTAATTTGAATATTTAGCTAGAAATAATTTTTGAATATTTTTCATTATTATTCTTGTAAATTAAATAATTATTTATTTGTTTAATTTTCTTTTCTAGTTTGATTCATCTTTAATTTATTTGTATTTATTAAGTACTGTATTAAGAAATCTGTTTATTTAAATTTTGCTGTTATCATGATTAAACATATAAGAAATATTAATAAAGGTACATAATTATGCAAATATATATAAATTATTAAAGTTTATTTTTAAAATAAAACTTTCTCTCTAGTGATTTTAATAAAATTTTCAAACCAGAAGCTTAATTAATAATTAAATCTGTAAAGCAGTTACATACTTAATATTATTCATAAAAAGAATTTTGCTGTTTAAAATTCTAAAAATTAATTAATTTTCCTTAAATATAATTTATAATGTTTATTCTTAATCGAGTTTTCGTCAATTTCTTAACAGTTACCTTCATTTTTTTAATCTTATAAACTTAACAAAATAACATCACTGTCATAGGACAAAATATGTCTGTTCATTTCTTTATACTCTCATATAACAACATAAAATTTTTTCTCCATAAATCTATATTATTGTAAGAGAAAAAATGTTTGTGATTTATACATAAAAACTTATTTAATATTTATGTTATATGAGATGATTTATAATTAATGAAAGTTCATAAATATCTTGTTGCAAACTCTAACAATGTTAGCAATACATTACTAATATATAAGTATTAATTTATCNCAATGTTTTCATTATATTTAACATTTGAAACTACAATTTGAAATATCTTATCCTCATTAAATAATCACTTAAGAAAGCAAAAACTAACTGCATGCAGTTCCAACAATCATTCATTTTTAATTATAAGCGTATAACAACCACTTCAAAATTTTTACTTTTCTTAATTTAAATTTATGATCACAACATGTCATTGAATAAAAGTTTTTATGTTAATAAATTACATATTTTTATATATTCAAATTTTTAATTTGAAAATTACAATTTTTTTTAGAATTTTGTATTTTAAATAATTGTAATTAAATTTACAAAAAATAACGAAACACCTTGGTATAATATGCAATTCAAAGCAGGGATTTATAAGATCCTACTTAGTATGAATATTACTGCAATACAATATTTAATGAATGTTTAGTAGTAGATTCACCTTATAACTATGCAGATACCGCTATTAAATTAGTATGCTGAGAATTTTTATCAACACACAAACCACGAGAAGAAATTTTTAAAAAATAGATTATCATCACGTTACTAGAATTTATTTACTTACCTTCTGTAACTCCTTTTGCTATTGTTATAGAATCATCTGTCTCCCATGCTACTACAGTTACAAAGTCTTTGACGGATGCAGCAATATAGCATTTGAGTAATGCTGTATTTCCTCTTACAACAAAATCGTCATAAGTTCGAATGTCATATGTTACGTGCATTACTGAAAATATATGAACTTATATACATATACACATATTAACTTTTACTACAATGTTTTATAGTCAAATATAAAATAAAAATAGAATTCTGAAACAAAAATTATACTTTTTTTCTTCCCAAGCAACAGTAAGTATCATTACTTTATCAATAAGAATCATTACTTTTCAATAGCATCGCATACATAAAAATTGATTTTAAAGAGTAATATTTCGATAGATTTAAATAGAATTAGTACTAAACTTATATATATTCATAAAAATTTAATATAAATATATATATTTAATTTTATTTATGAAACCAAAGATAAGGACTTTTTATCTTGAAAAATTCCCGAATAATA